AGACCAGGCACACCGCGAAAGCATTAAGAAAGTGCTGACGAGATGGACACCGATGTGCAACACATTTACTAAAGCGTAAGTTTTCATATATAGATTTGGCACGAATGAGGCCCTTTCTGACGCGGTTGAACTTCTGCATCGCACCCCTCGCCCTTTTGGCCAGAAATCAGTCTGTGATAGCCAAGTGGCGCTCGTGCATGAAGACTATGCCACCTTCGCCTTCGAAGATGGGTCCTGCTTGTTGACTTCAGAGCGTACTTGGAGGTTCCGGGGTAGTCATAAGTAGGATGATAAGTACCTTAATATGGGTTATAAGTATAGTTAGCCTACTTATAACTACCCATGAAGCTCCAAGTAGGGTATTATGATTCGGGGTCTCGGTGTATAGTATAGGGTTGCTTGGTATAAGACTTTTGCAGGCTTTGCTGAGCGTTCCTTCTGGGGAGGCATGGAAAGTGGCTGGAAAGTCTAAGTTTCGGCCTAATTTCGGGCTTGGATTGCACGGCTGAGGATTTAGGATCAGAGTGAACTATCTGAAACTATCTGGAACCCCAGAGAAAATTGCAATTATCACAGCTTAAACTCTGATCTCTTTCCTTTTGTCACCAGGGGGGATCTCGTTTTTTGTCGTACTCCACAACCCAAGCACACCCATAAACTCGCCCAACAAGTCCGAGAGGGCTCGGTTGCATCCAAGATGCGACCGTTCTCCGACTTTTGCCAGTTGTCGGGAATGAAGCCCGGATCGATGGTGATCCCGCGCCTCGCAATGTCTCGCATTGTATATATATATATATATATATATATATATATCCATATATATATATATATATACATACTATTTTGAGGGTTGCTTTTTATAGTTAATGTATAATGAGCCCCAAAACCCTCTTCTATATAACCCAGGGCTTCAGGGTCTAAGGCTTTTTTTGGATCACATTGGGGCTCCATGACATTCGACAATGCATACCTACCAGGCGACTTCCAAAAAAAGCCAAAAACACTGCTAATCCGCCTCAGCACCTGCGTGTCTGTGAATTAAACTAGACCCAAGAGTAACCTAGGAATAAAAACGGTGCCCTTTTTGGTTTAAAGGGGCTTATAAGGGAACCTGAACCCTCAAAAAGGGAATAAGGGCCTACTCTAGGTCCTAGTAAAAGTTACTATGTTAAGGCCCAGGATCGAGGGCCAGCGACATCCGCTCACCCTCAACCCCTCCAAAGTCCCCCACAGTCTGCACCCTGCAACCCCTAAGCCCTAAACTCTGAACCCTAAATCCCCTAAACCCCTAATTAAACCCGAACCCCGAACCCTAAACCCCCGAACCCACAGCCGCGACAAGGAGCTCGTAGGACAGAACGGCCATGATGAAGGAAGAATGGAAGACGACAGAGCTGGTGCTACCTCACCCGAAAACGCTACTGTCTGGTGCTTAGTCGGGAATGGGGGAATGGATCCTTACATATGTGTATTTCCCACTAATAGTCCCCATAACCCATACCTCCATTCCATGCTAAGCACCACCAGGCAGGCTAAGGGTCCAAAGGACCCAATGACGAGGTACTTCGGTGCAGGATAGTAGCTATGCATAGGTCAATATTTGGGAGAGCATATGATTATTAGGTACTTGGACCCTTTGGGAACACGCGAGTCCTTAGTCTGTCTCCCTCTATGCAGCTTCATGTATCTTCATGCAGTATATCGTCTAGTCAACTGTCAGTGGCGAAGCTACAAAAGAAGCTGAGACTTCAACCCTACATGCTGATGGCGTCCTTCTAAACTCTTCGTCATTCCTACTATGCTGGCAGGATGACTTAACCACAGGACCCTAAACTCGACACAACTGTGGCATCCCTGACAGACGTTGCGTCTAAGCTTCAAGAGTCAACCCTTCGGCATGTTGTCGGTGCATCTGCCACTCGAATTTTTATACGGCATGGCATAGTCTAATATGATATAATAAGATATAGTGTTATCTAACAAGTCATATGATGCTCAGGTTTAGGCTGTACAGTCCAGGGCTTTGGAGCTACGCAAACCCTGAGGACCCAAACCCAAAGAGAATCCAAGCCTGCAAACAATGACGGCGAAAGCCTATAGAGATTATAGCAGATATTTGCCTAGATTATAGCAGAGAGTATATAGCAGCCTTACAGCCTCCTTACGTCCTGTCTGGGCGGCTGAGCCGCTAAGGCATTTAATGTCATCTGGAATCGCCGTGCAGCTGCAGAGGGCTGCTATACTAGATTGCTGTACGGGCAGTATATAAGGTTACCACGATAAAGCGAGCAGTAATTTCGAGGGTGCTGCGCATCTCTGTTAACGACATCCTTTCTCGGGTGGATTTGAGAAGTCGGTTGGATGTCCGGGGTTGGTGAGTTTGGTGCTTGAGCCTTGGGACTTTTTTGAGGCCTACGGATTGCGGCCCTCGGTAATGTGAAGCTGGAACATCCTGTTTAGCAGATACTGGAACCTGTACCAAAGATTTGGCACTGACCCTAACCCTAAACCCTAAATCCTAAACCCTAAACCCTGAACTCTAAACCCTGAGCCCTAAACCCTAAACTCTCACTTCTGGCATCCCACTGCCAAAGCCCTTCCTGAAAACTAGAGACCCTATAGCCGAATTGAACCCTAAACCCATGCAAAACAACAGAAACCCGAGGGCTCACGTCTTCTGAGCTGCTCAGAGGAAGGTGAGCTGCAGGCATGTACGCCCAGCTAAAGGACACATACCTCGGATTTGGGGTTTAGGGCTTGGGGTGTGGGGTTGAGGGGTTAAGATATTTTTCGCACCCGCTTGGCTAAATCGGATCTCGGCTTTGGTTTTTTAGGGCGGGATTAAGGGAGTTGAGGCCGGTCCTCGCTATTCATGACATATGAGAATTTTGAACAAGCCCGAACAGGACTGCCATCGCCACTATTTAGTCAGAGGGGGTCTAAACAACATAAACACATACCCACGAAAAACAAGGGAGCCCAAACTACTTCCCGGGTTTGGGCTTTGAAGGCTTTGGCATTTCAGCCACCCGTTCCGCAACTGTTCCTTGCAGCCAGCCCAATCCTGCCCCCAAATCCTAACACCCAACTTTGCCGTGACTTTAGGAAGTTATTCATGATTCGCCCACGACCTACGTCTCATGACTCTTAAGAGGCATTCGTTCAAGGTGGCAGTTTTAGACTATCGGCTGACTCAAAAGTCAGGGGACCGGGTGGTTTCAGAGCTCCCCGGAACTCGAACATAGCACTTCTTCGACGCTGACCACTGTCTTGAAAACATGGGTTTATGCATGCATGGATGCATGGATATGTGCGGGTGCGTATGCCTACGTAAGTGTATGTATGCACATGCATGTTCCTGAAAGTGGTTTGTTCCTTACCACTAAATACCCCCGGTAGAACTCCTACTCAAATTTCCGGGCAAAGCAACAAAACTGTGTACTGCTGTCGGCCATGTCTTGACAATGAAAAGGTATTAAATTGACACCTCCGCCGCACATGAATGGCTCTTCACTTTAGGTGTGTGTCGTGTTAGAAAGCCAGATAATGCGAGTCTTGTTTTTTCAGGTGTCTACAAGGCCTGAACCAGTGCCCAACACCCTGAACCTACACAGAACCCGGTACCCTTAAACAAGCACAAAAACACGAAACTCACCCCGTCCAGCTTTAACCAAAAGCCCTCCTAAACATTAAGCGTAACCTGAAGCCCAGCTGCAGTGTTCCCATGATCAGCCCAACAGCGATCAGCGGCGCGGATTCGGCCAAAGGGCGCTCCTGAAAGTCTGGGTCGTCTTGCTGTAGGTCCCTTTCAGGAATTCGCTAAAGGATGTTACAGGACGTTCGATGTCTAAAGGGATTTTGGGGGTTTGAGGACTCGACCCTCACCCCGGAATAACCTACCTTTTTCATGGCATAGTTGGGGAAATCAGAACAAGGAACCCTAACAAGGTAGGCTATTCAGGGTTAAGGTATCCCTTTCATAATCAGAAGTTAGGCAAAACAGGTTTTTGTCGCTGAGAGAGCCCGGGAGCTGAGGCTAAGGGCCGCGGGTGTACCTGAACCCTCGGAAAGACGGGTTCGGTTGAGGCTTTAGGGTTTATAGGGTTCCTCATTAGTCTGACTTCCTTAAAACGCGTAAGGTATATCGGCATATTTCCCTGAAGACTAGTGTGTTCTTGGTGTCCTGTGATGCTCATGTTCCTTTTCCTTAAGCAGTAGGTGTATGGGCTACAAGTCCTAAAGCGGTCGAGATCAGAAGGTTCGCGGGGATTTAAGGGTTTAGGAGTCTGAAGCACAAGATACTATAGGGGCCTAAAAATTGTTGGAAAAGAGTTCTGAGGTATATTATACTATACTTGTAATATTTAGGCCTCTATATTCGATCCGTGTGGTGTGACCTCCGTTGTTGCTCACGCCCGGCACAGCCATGCAAGGACGCATCGATGCAAGCGTCATGTCTCCAACCTTGCTCACATTCCGGGTAGCCAGTGTGTGCAAACACCACAACAAGTAGATACCAGATGATGATCTAAGACGATGACAAAACAAGGGCAGACACAGCTCAATAGGAATGTGGATGCAGATCACGATAAAGCACATATGTCTACCAGTCTTACTGCCTGTCGACGGCGAGCTCCACCGAAGAAAGTGCCTTGATAGTGGCAACACCTAGTCGCCGTCGACGGCTCTGAAACTCTGCCAAGATCCTTCCGACCCTATATATGGGTAATATATAACAAGTATAATACGTATAATACCTTACTCTATATATACACAATATTATACAGTATAGTATAATATAGTAACTTTAATCTGATCTGATAGCATATGTTATACAATACAATATACACTATACAACATACAGTATGTACGTATATATGTATAGTGTTATAGTGACACTTAAGATATCTGCAATTAGTAATCCTTCTCAAGGGAAGGCCGGGGGATAAACATAGGCAGTCCCCGCTTTCGGAGCTGCCACTAGCCCGCACTCACTGCACTCACCAGGGCCGCATTCCAGGAGGTCCCAGACTCCCTGGCTGTAGTTTTGAAGCTTTTGAGGCCCTTATACAAGCATTATAATGATTGGGTACCTCTATAGGAACCACCTGGGAAATATCAAAGCTTCCCAAAGTGCCACCCAGATTCCGGGTAAGATAGGCCTGGGAATGATCACATTCCTGGGCGGAGAGGCTTTGTCTGAAAGGCTGTCGGTAAGGGATCCTCGACGGGTGTAGGAAGGTTTAGGAGATTCGGTTCGGGGTCCTTAAAGACTATAGCGAACTTTTGGTCTCAAGACTGGTGCTACCTCTTGTTGAAGTTAGGATGCGAAGCCCTCAACCCTGAACCCTAAACCCTAAACCCCTAAACCCCTAAACCCTAAACCCCTAAACCCTAAACCCCTAAACCCTAAACCCTTCCCTGTCAGTCTCAGGGTTTCCGGGATTTAGGGCTTCGGCCTTTCTTTGGCTAGCTCAACGTCGGGTTTTTCGGGAGCTTGCTTGTTCTTTTGGCATGTTGGGAGCCTTGGTCTACGTAGCACTCCGGGCTTTCAGGGGGTCCAGGAGTCTTGTGCATCCTTCTTTAAGTCTTAAGAGTTTATTACCCAGACATCGAAAAAATGATTTGAAGAGCGGCCGAGAGTCGGGTAAGGGGCACTCGCGTTCACATTTCTGGCAGGTGGCACGGCTCCCCGCCGTGCGCCGGCCAAGGTCTTGGAGTTGGACATTGCTCGCTGCACCGCCTCCAATAGTAACAGTTTCTAGTAATTTGTCATAAGACTGGTTAGCATGAGAACGTATTCAGAAGACAGCAAGGCTACTAATGCCACGAAAGTACAAGATCGTAGTGGACAGACTAACCGCCAGAATGGCAACAATACTGGAACTGACCGTAACAATGTGGTCATAGCCGTGATAACTGACAACCATAGAAACTGAAAACTAGGGAGTAAGCAATGATTCTAATGCCATTCCCTACGATACAAAACACCACGATTAATGCTAGTAGTCGTAGTCCGTTTCGCAATAGCAGCAATAATTAGTCAAAACAACAATAAAACATAGTACCAGTGCAACAACAGGCATACGGGCACTAATCATGTTAATACAACTGCCAATATTAATCGTAGTGATACTAGGAGGTATAAGAAGAATAATTGTACCAGCGCTCGCAAATAAGCTTGTAACAAACCCTAAACCCTACTAAACCCTAATAAACCCCACCAAACCCCACTAAACCCTAATAAACCCTCCTAATCCCTAAAAAACCCTGATAAACCCTCCTAAACCCTACTAGACACTGATAAACCTAAGAAACCCTCCTAAACCCTAATCAAGCCCAAGAAAAAAGCAGCCCGCCTCAGCCCGGAGCTCTGCCGTCTCGGTGATGCCCGGTGGCATGGTCTGGTCGAGGCTCAGCCTTTCGATGCAGGGCTGAGGGGACATCATTTAAAAAGGGGCCTTAATAATTACCACAGGGTTCCTTTAAGGGTTCCGTTTAAAGGCTGAGGGGTACCAAAGGTTAGTATTTTTTTTTTGGTACTCCTTTTCTCCAGAGGAGGCAAAAGGTTAGTTTAGGGTTTAGGGTACCTTTGGGATACTATATACAGGTTGTAGTAACCCCCCAAAAAAAATGTTAAAGGTGAGGGATGCTTACGGGGGTCGATGTGCCAATCTAGTATATACTTGTCGGCCTGAAACTTATTGATGTAGGAACCCCTTTACGAGCAAAGTCTCCGTGATAGAGGTATGTGCACCCTTCGGGTTGCCCCAGAGTGAAAGAATAACAGGGGTTTTCGACGCTCACACTCGCACACAGACAGGCAAGGCAGGGGTTTAGGGTTTAGGGGTTTAGGGGTTTAGGGTCACTGTCAGAACCACAACCCGAAAGAAGTAATCAAAACGAGGTGAAAGCTTAGGAGAACCCCTTTTGAGCTGCTAAAACTCGTCGTTTTTTTGCATAGGCTTGTGTGAATCCCAGTCCTAAACCCTCAACCTCTATTTCAGCACTTAGCAGCCCAAGGAGGAACTGGGCGTGCAGGAGTGCATGGCAAAGCTGCGGATGCTCCAAGAGAACAGCGCGGGCCCGCTCGGGCGAAGCTTTGGCTAGCTCCTGCTTTGGGGGTTTAGGCTTAGGGGTTTAACGGTTTAAGGGCGGTTAAGCTTTAAGGTTTAGGGTGTAGGGATAATTCAGGGCTTTGGTGGAGCCAGTCTCGAAGCGGGTTGAGGTTATGGGGTTTGTGGGGTTTAGGAGGAGTGTAGGCTTGTGGGGTGGGGTTTTCTCCTGCATGGTTCCAAGGCAAAGCTGCAGATGTGCCTGTGGCATTGAGGCCACGGTCTGCACAATGTCAGTGTGTGCTGCGACTGATGCCATGATGGTGTCAGCTGGCACCTTGGCGTTCCGATGCAAGGAGAAGTACCGGTATGTATATACCGGAAGGTATACGAATAAGCCCATACCACAACGCCTTCATCACTGCTATACGTCATCGGCAATTATAGGCTTATCGCGGTACCCTTACTCCCCAAAATTAAATTCAGGCTGGCACATTCGGATCTTCCAGTGCAGCAGCTGCCGCGGCGGCTGGATCCACTGTGCTTGGAGTGACCACACCGCTGCCTGCTGTTGTACCTCGGTTCCGAAGTAGAAGTGTCCCGCTAGGAAACCACATCACCAAAAAAGATCCGTAACAAGAATGAGACACATCTTTAAGCTAACCCCTCAACCCCTAAATCCCATACAGATCCCTTTTATTCACGTAAAAGGGACCCTAAACCCCACCCTAAAACCCCTAAAACAACTGCTGATGGACAAAATCCTGCATTACCCATTATAGGGAATATACCATAGTTCCCATAGTTTAGAGTCCTTCATGCAGGATTTTGTCCATTAACAGAAGTACTCCAGAGCCCGGGTGCCCGATGTTTTGATGGGCGCAGGTGGTGCTTGAGGCTGGCGAGGTCGGCTGGGTGCCTCGGGTCCCACCAAAGCCAAGGTGCCACTACCAGCCTTTGCAGCGGCACGTGCCTGGGCTCTTGCTAAGGAAGGTAACTTATATAAGTCACCATTGTAGCGATCATTAGTAAATACTATGACTTCCTTATCTTGATAATCGGGTTTTATAGTAAGTACCATGGTTTCCTGATTAATTATGGTAGCTTAAATTAGCCCTAAACCCTAAAGAACCCTATAGGGTACTACAATATGTTGTAGTACCCTTTAAAGGTAACTTAAACGAAATCCCTTCACAAGAACCCAGGTGCAGGGGCACCGCGTGACTGGTCGTTGTCGGCAAGGTCTAGTCGGAGCAACCTGGGGGTTCCAAAAATAGGGGACCCTGATCTAGCACCCTCAATAGTAGGATCCTGATTATAAGGACCCCAAAATAGCATCAGTAGCAGTAGCAGTAGTAGCAGTAGTAGCAGTAGTAGCAGTAGTAGCAGTAGTAGCAGTAGTAGCAGTAGTAGCAGTAGTAGCAGTAGTAGTAGTAGTAGTAGTAGTAGTAGTAGTAGTAGTAGTAGTAGTAGTAGTGGTAGTAGTAGTAGTAGTAGTAGTAGCAGTAGTAGTAGTAGTAGGATGCTTAATATAAGGACCCCAAAATGAAGTACCCCTAATTGTCGGAAAACCCCCACCTTCCATTGCATTCCTTCTCACTGAGGATCTTGATGGCTGTGATAGCTGTATCTGGGTCCGCGAAGTCGCAGAAGCCGTAGCCTTTAGGCTGCAAGGTCTCTTTGTCAAAAACCATGCGAAAGGACTCCACTTTGCCACCCTGGGACAAATGCCCACGAACATCATCTTCCGTGGCATCATATGGGATGTTTCCCACAAAGACGGTGGAAGTCTTACCTGGTTCTCCTCCTTTTGACACCCCTCTTGCAGGCATTCCACGAGCCAGCTCATTATCTGCAAGGTCCAGACGAAGTAGTCTCCCATGGCATTCTCTTTCGCTGAGGACTTTGATTGCAGCGGCAGCCGTCTCAGGATCTGCGAAATCGCAGAATCCGTAGCCCTTTGGCTGCATCGTTTCCTTGTCGAACACCATGCGGAAGGACTCCACTTTGCCACCCTGGTTCAAGTGAGCACGCACATCATCTTCACTGGCGTCGTAAGGAATGTTTCCGACGAACACTGTGGCCGTCTTTCTTCCGGGAACCAGCGCCATCGCAATTCGTGCTGGAACCCCTGAATCTTGCCTACCTTGTCCGAGTCGGGCTAGGCTGACAATGCTCCTCGAAATCGCAGTAGTAGTGGTGCGTACCGGGACGATGTCTTTTCTGCCTAGGTTTAAGCTCTCACGATTCAGGCACAATGTGGCTGCGGTTTTCGAATTTGTTGGCTTGTGGTTCGCCCCCCTGCCCCCCCAGCATCACAAGATTTCTCAGGGTATGTCGCAACACTGCAATGCAAATCTCACAGAAACAAGCGCACTGCGGCGATGTTTTGATGGCTGCAAGCGGTGCAACAAACTGGCATTGTCCGTTCAGGTGCTCGGGTCATACAAAAGCCGGCCAAGTCCAATCCAATCGGATCAACCTTCCCTTGCATTCCTTCCCACTGAGGACTTTGATTGCAGCGACAGCCGTCTCAAGATCTGCGAAATCGCAGAATCCAGAGCCCTTTGGCTGGATCGTTTCCTTGTCGAACACCATGCGAAAGGACTCCACTTTGCCACCCTGGTTCAAGTGAGCACGCACATCATCGTCGCTGGCTTCGTGAGGAATGTTTTCCACGTTCTTCTCCTTTTGACACCCCTCTTGCAGGCATTCCACGATCTGCAAGATCCAGTCGAAGTAGTCTCCCACAGTATTCCCTTTCGCTGAGGACTTTGATTGCAGCGGCAGCCGTCTCAGGATCTGCGAAATCGCAGAATCCGTAGCCCCTTGACTGCATCGTTTCCTTGTCGAACACCATGCGAAAGGACTCCACCTTGCCACCCTGGTTCAAGTGAGCATGCACATGATCTTCCGTGGCATCATATGGGATGTTTCCCACAAAGACGCTGGACTTCTTTCCAGGTTCTCCGCCTGTTGACACCGCTCTTGCGGGCATTCCACGATCTGCAAGATCCAGTCGAAGTAGTCTCCCACGGTATTCTCTTTCGCTGAGGACTTTGATTGCAGAGACAGCCGTCTCAGGATCTGCGAAATCGCAGAATCCGTAGCCCCTTGACTGCATCGTTTCCTTGTCGAACATCATACGGAAGGACTCCACTTTGCCACCCTGGTTCAAGTGAGCACGCACATCATCTTCCGTGGCATCGTATGGGATGTTGCCCACAAAGACGCCGGACTTCTTTCCAGGTTCTCCGCCTTTTGACGCCCCTTTTGCAGATAGTCCGCCCAAACTGTCTGCAAGATGCAGTCGCAGTAACCTGCCATGGAACTCTTTATCCCCGAGGACTTCAATTGTAGTAAGAGCTGTTTCAAGGTCTGGGAAATTACAAAAGCCATAGCCTTTCGGCTGCATCGTGTCACTGTCGAACATCATACGGAAGGACTCCACCTTGCCACCCTGGTTCAAGTGAGCACGCACATCATCTTCTGTGGCATCGTATGGGATGTTGCCCACAAAGACGCTGGACTTCTTTCCAGGTTCTCCGCCTTTTGACACCCCTTTTGCAGGTATTCCGCCCAAATTGTCTGCAAGGTGCAGTCGCAGTAACCTGCCATGGAACTCTTTATCCCCGAGGACTTCAATTGTAGTAAGAGCTGTTTCAAGGTCTGAGAAGTTACAAAAGCCATAGCCTTTTGGCTGCATCGTGTCACTATCGAACATCATACGGAAGGACTCCACTTTGCCAAGCTGGGATAAGTGAGCCTGCACATCAGCTTCTGTCACGTCGTACGGAATGTTTCCGACGAGCACCGCGGTCGTCTTGCTTGGTCCAGGAACTACCGCCGTCGCCATTAGCAATAGACGGATTGAATGCTCTGTGTATTTCCTGCGTTTGTTGAACATAGAGTTCGACTACAGTTGCTCCATGACGTCGCAGTCAGGAACTGTGTGTACGCTTCTCTTGTCATCTACGAACTCGCACTTGAGGCAATAGCGGAAGTTGAACTGGGGGTGTAGGGTTGGGGAGGGACTACTGCCCATGATCCCGTTCTCTCTTCATGAAGAGATTTCACATGGCAGTATGCAAGGATATGAACAGCAAGCAAAGGAAGCGTGAATGATTCGTAATACTAGCGTCGTTAGGGCTCCTCAACTGAACCCTCCAACCACTTATTGAACTAATAGGGAACCTATACTAAATCTGAAGCGTCGATGTGAAATCCCTCAAGCCTGAGAGGAGCAGAGTTCTGAAACCCAGGCCAAGCGCTTCTTCCTTCAGCTCGATCATGTAAGCTAAGTTTACCCGGGAGCTCCAGTTACCCAAACACAAAGGCTCAAAATGGCCTCAAGGCCTTCTATAATATGGTCTTTAGGCCCACAAGCCTTAAACCGTGAATCCTTAGCGCCTCAAGGAAATATAACATAGGTTACTAACCGTATAGGATACAACCCAGTAGCCCAACTTTTATGTAAGTGGATCCCTAACCTGACGCGGATCCCCAAAAGCTACGCGTGTTAGCACAAGAACATCGGCGCAAGAAACCCCCAAAATTTGTATGCTGGGCCTTATGCAACCGTTATAGACCCCTTCCAAGGAACCTTTTGAAGGACGCCGTTAAAGGCTCGGAGGAGATCCCCTCAACAATGAAGCATGCCTGCACCAAGTTCACCACACGACTTCCGGCGAGCCATCTGCCAGCAGTCCGACACCAAATGTCGAGAACCTTGGTTTACAACAACTAGTTTTTCATTTGGATTTCGAGTCCCTTTACAGGGCTCTGATTGGGCTTTGGAAGGCCTCGCGGTCTTACAATGCTTTAGAACCTAGGGTTTGAGGGTCTAGGATTGCGGCTTTATGGCGGTCGGGTCGGGGTTTATGTTTAGCGTTTGGGGTTCATAGTTTCGGGCTCACGCTCTGTAAGGGTCAAGTTTTATGGTGTCCGGCTTTTGGCAACAGGCTCCTCTCGCCCGGAACAGGCGGCTTAAACCCTGAACACTACGCGACACCATGGATTCTTAGCGCCTGCTTCGGATGGCCGCCTACTTACGGCTGGGAACTCAGAAGCAAGAAGCTATAGGCAGCACCAGAAGTCGGGATCTTCTGTAGGATTTTTGGAATGAAGCTCGGCTGTTGGCAGAGGGGCGAAACATGGTAGGGCCCATGATAACCCTACGAAGGCTGCGGATACAAACAACGGAAGGGGAAGACTGTTGAAAGACAAGGACACTTTTCGGCCTCAGCAGCGGCACAGCAAACTGAAAACGAAAGGACGGAGCGTACTAAGGGGACCTCGAAGTGGGTTGCACAGCGGGACGGTAAGTGCGGGGGCTCGAGGTCTAGGATGTGATGCAACCTAGGATACCCAGTAACCTAAGAATAAAAAGGCCTCTCTTTTTGGTATTGGGTAACTTTATGAGGAACCTAGGACTACAAAAAGGGAATAAGGGTACTACTGGGCATCCTAGCAACAGTCTTCGCGGCTTTTGGTTTAGGGCTTAATTGGGCTTAGGGCTTAGGGTCTGTTGAGGCAAGCATCCCTCGAACACTGCGCAAGTGATACACTCAGCAAGGTTGAATCGGACTCCGATAAGCACCCTCCGAACCCTAATTCTAATTCAGACCCTACCCTGTACGACTATCGGAATTATTGCGCGGAATCTTCTACAACAGATGTTTGTGCAGCGTTGTCTAGATTATATACTGTAGTCTTGTTAGCTTTACCAGTACCCGGAAGCATGCGCACAGCCTTACGAAACCTTGAGAAAGGATATCTGTAGCATGCAATCTTGCATCTCCACAGGCAGACGTGGCGGTTTGGGGCGCTGAACAAAGCCCCGAAACCCTAAACCCTCAGAAGCTTTAGGGTTTAGAGGCGGGGATTCGGAAAAAGGCTTTCGGGGCTCCCAAACAAGGTGTCAAGCCCGTTTCTCAGTCTCTGTAAGACTTTTTCAGCAGACCATTTTCCATCCTTTGTAGGTTACTCTGGACTTCTTGAAGGCCCAGCAATGTCTGATTGTACATTGTACGCTACATGATCTCTGAACATCTTGGGCAAAGGTAGCACTAGCGGCCAAGCCTAAACCCCAAACCCCCCTAGTTACACCGCTGGACCTCAACATTTTGAACACCAAAACCTTGAAGCCCACAAGAAAGAAACTTGCAGCACCGGTCATCTGAGGCCGCAGCCGTGGCGACAAACTTGTCCAAGTTATGCTCAAACCGCTCCTGAGCTCCGGTGTACGCAAGGTTGGGTCGGTGCTGGTGTATTATTGTTACTACTATTTTTATTGTTCCTATTATTGTTATTGTTACTATTATTACTATTATTGCTACTATTATTACGATTGTTATTATTTTTATTATTATCTGCTGCTGATGGTGGTAATGGTGGGAGGCCGCAGTACTGCTGCTGCTGCGGCTGCTGCCGTTGTTCTTGTCGACATCGTCGGGGTTGGTGGTGGTGGTAACAAGCGCACATCAAGGTCACCACCGAGTCCGCCAGGCCGCGGATCCTGCATGCCATGAGCCCAACTCCAAGTTAAGAATCTGAAGACTGAGTGCATAGCTCATTGTAATTTACAAAAGCAGATATAGACGTGTGGGACGTCCTGACTATGACTTGCCAATACCTACTGAGTGCCCTCTGCCTCCAAGTGCGCCCGCGGACAACAAACCCACAAATGGCCAGTACGATGCTGCAGAATAAAGCTCTCAAATCCCGAAAGTGCAACTCAAAAGTATGACCGAAGCGCTGCGAGTAAACTTCAAAAACTCCCATGACCCATTCTTGATGAAGACAGGAAAAGCCTTCCATTCGAGGGGCCACTGTCGGAGGTCGCCGTGCCACAAGGGCTTCTAAGGAGTCTTTGGTGGAAGGGCCATTAGCCTGGAACGCCTCGGCTCACTCGTGATGGGGGCGGTTGACCAGAAGTTCTACACTGTATCACTAGCCCAAAATCATAAACCCTCACCCTCAAATTGCGAAACGCCCTGCACCCTAAAGAACGTGACCGAGAGGTGGGTGGCCTGCCACGCCCTCAACACGAGCAAGGACGAGAAACGCTTGTTTTCTACTTCGGTGGTGCAAAAGAATAAACATAGACAGA